GGAGCGGTTATTTTGATGTCAAGATATGTTTTAGGTAGCCAATTCTTAAATATTACTGGCTGGTTGTTTAATAAGTAAATACACATATTTTAGGTGAATATCATGTACAATGCCTAAATGAAAAAAACAAGAGTTTGAATCTTATGATACATTTATAAATTTTTAAGCTAGAATTAAAAAAAGAGATGAAAGAGAGTTTTTCATAAATAGCAATTTTTGAGTCTTAGCTGGTATGTTTGTGGTTACATCCGGTGATAATCCCGATTAAAAACTCTGCCATACAAGCCACAAAAGAGCATCAATGGCTTCACCCCTCGCGCCCGTTGCGCGCACCACCACCCACTCACTACGTCTGAGCTCGACCTCGAGCTCCCACTTTCAACGCTCGGCAGTCGCCGCCGTTGCAGCCTCCTCCCCCGAGTCTGAACTGGACATCGGCGGCGGCAGAGATTTGCCTCTCGAAGCTTCTTTCCCATCGCTCGAGGTCATCGGATCGAAGAGCGCGCTGCTATCTCGGTTCGCCAGTCTGTCCTACCGGCCATTCCCGATCATCGGATGGAACCGCCACGTGGAGACAATCTTCGCCGCCCTTTTTCGCTCTCTTCCCCGCGTTCAGCTTCGCCGGGAGTGCTTGCGAACAAAGGATGACGGAGCCATCGCCCTTGATTGGCTATACGGCGACGAAATCGGGCTGCCCGCCGATTCGCCGGTGCTCGTCCTGCTGGTGCGGTTCGAATTTTGTGTTCATATATTGTTTTCCTCTGTTGGGTTTGGATTTTCTCGGGGTTTAGTTGGAGTTGGTTCTCTCCTATTCGGTGATTTAGGATGTGTTTGGATGCTGGGAAATTGAGATAAAAAACAGAGGAAAAAAATTAAAAAAGAACGGATAACTCAAATCAACGGATGCATATTCATACTTTTCATGCATAGGATTGTCACACTAAAGTCTTGTGCATGTAAATATGAAAGTTTAGGTGTTAGACGTGTAAATACATAAGAATTGTGTGGCATAGGTTTATCATACCAAGGTTTGAAGGTCTGGAGGCACCGAATGCTAATTTGGGGAGCGGCTTTAAGGCAAAGAAACCTTTCATTCTTTTTAGCAATGGTTGCATTTTGTTTGGATTTCTTTCATGGCCCTGTTATTCTGTTATTTACGACCTCATGTTATTAACATGTTCAAGTTTGCTATTTAAGAGTGTACGTGCCTTACTTTATTGTTATTGGTGAAGCATGTTATTTGCCATTTACAATGAAACCATGCTTGGTATAAATCATCATTAGGCTTATCCTAATGGGTTAGCCTTATAAATCCTCATTCTCCATTCATTTTTGTTAAGTGCAACGAGTGGCACCAAATTTATTTTATGTAAATCTTTTTGTACCACTATTCATTCTAATTCTCAATCTATTTGTTTTCTTTCATAATACTTTGATATTAATTTCCTTCATAATGCATGCATTTTCTACCATGTGGTATGCATGTTAAGACCACCTAAGTTTTAGGATATTGCCACAATTATATTATTTGAATAATGGGACATTCACAAACATAAACATACAACCCAATTTCTCTGTATTTATGCATCTAACATCTAAATTCTACTTTTTATATTTGTACCACTCAACTTTCTCATCAAAAGATGGAATTGTTAAAAAAAACTCACATGTACATTCATAACATGAGCTTAAATAGGGTATTACAATGTTTTTCAAATAAACCCCAAAATTTCTTCAATAATTCCCTTTTTGACCACTAGGATTCTAAATAAGTTCTAATTCTAACCACTCCCCCTTAAGATGGGCAAAAGATATCCACTAAGCCCATCTTGTCACATAACCTAGACAAATCTAATGAACTAAGTCATTTAGTGAGGCAGTGAGCCACTTGCTCTTCAGTGCCTAATGACTTAGCTCTAGTAGCCCATCATTCAACTTTTCCTTGATGAACTTGATGAAAAATCTATCAATCTTCTATCAATCTCCACATGTTTAGTTCTATTGTGCTGCACCGAGCTGTTGGCAATGCTGATTACTGACTTGTTGGCGCACCACAACTTCATTTGAGTTTCATGGTCCACCTTCAACTCTCCCAACAAGGTTCTCAGTCACATCATCTCGACAAATCTTAAGGCCATTGCTCTGTACTCTATCTCTATTGTTGACCTCGCTACTACAAACTGGTTCTTACTCTTCCAAGAGACCAAGTTGCCCCCTACAAACATGCAACATTCTGAGGTGGATCAAACCTTTCCTGGTCTACTCTTCAGGTATCTCAAAATCTGATACACTGCATCCATATGACCCTTTCTTGGATTATGCATGTAGCGGCTCACAACGCTCACTACAAAAGAGAAGTCGGGTCAAGTGTGACAGATAGATCTTACGACCCACCATTCTCTGATACCTCTCACGATCAATTTGTTCTCTTGCCTCGATACTCAGCTTGGCCCTTTTGGTCAATTGGAGAGACTGCAGGTTTACACCATAGCATGCTTGTTTCTGTGAGATCTAATACATACTTTCTCTAGGACAAGTCCATCCCCTCAGGTCCATTGACCACTTCAATCCCAAAAAAACATTCGAAATGTCCACGATCCTTCACCTTAAATTCATTGTCCAATCCTACTGTCGGTCGCCATACGGCTGGATGCGGTTTAATTTAGTGTAATATAGTATTTAGAAATTAGACATTTTAATTTGAAGAAAATAGGGTCAAACTGATCCCATTGATTCATTGATTCCTACAGTTTGACAGTTTGAATAATCAAACCAACCACGAGTAATGTATCACCTTGGACGCTAATACACTATTTAATAATAAACTCAATTAAATAAACTATAAATGATTTTCGTTTAATCTGTAAGTTTGCATGATGACCGACATATTCTTCTATTCGATATGAGAGTCAAATAGGGTTTATTTTAAGTCTAGATTCTTTTAAGTTCTCTATAAGGACAAACCCTATAGTTAATTACATCTTAAGCGAACAGATCACTCAAAAAAACTCTCGATAAAAATCATGAATATTTTGTTTTCATGAATTCAAAAGGAAGGGTTTTCAACGAATATGATTATGAAATTTTCAATAGGGATTGGTTCAAAGGTGAACGATTTTATTTTAAGAATCAACGGAAAAAAAATTAAGGGAGATTAAAGGTCCAGAATAGGTTCTTGGTAATCTCTCAAACTATCATAATATTTGGCTCAATTTAGGAAGATATTAATTTAAGTTAACTCTTGTCAATTTTATTAATTAGGCTTAGATTTGTGTAATGATGATTTACACAAAAAGCTTAAAAAGATATGAGGTTTTACGTTGAGTGACTACCTCAGAATCCTAAAACAAGTTAGGTTATGCTGCATATCAGGATTATGCAGGAGCCTAACAAAAAGATATATTTTATGTCATAAAAGACAGCCTCAGAATTCTAAGGATTGTTATTTAAACTAAAAAAATGCCTTGAATGAGCTGCCCACGAAGTTTGCCCCGAGTTTTTTGTTGAAATGTCTTCAAGTCTTCGAGTCCTCCAATCTTATTATTAAAAGTTTTATTTATTTCAATAATTTATAGTGAATTAATTAAAGGGTGGTCGAGGTATAGTTCAAGCCTAAGACAAGGCTAAGTTCACTTAAGCTAAGTAATTTCCTAGCGTTATGATTTCTATATTCTCCCAAATCTAAATAACTTTTATTCCTTCATTATTTGTTCTTAACACATCCATTCTATGTTTGATAAAAACAGCAAAAACATACATTGAGATACAAAAAACAATGAGTAGAGCGAATAAAGAAATAATATTTTATCAAATTTTTATTAAATTTTTATTTTTTAATTAGTGGTAATCCGATCAAGATGTTTATGGCTCTATCGTCCCGGGTCACCGGGTGCTCTATTTTACTTAGTCTGAAACCACCAGGACCGGAAGATTCTTGTCAACATCCACAGAATGCATCATCCAATAAATTTTCGTGAACTAGAACAAAAAAGGGTTTAAGTTGCGTTATATAATCTTTGTGTTTAAGATTTAATTGATCTTTGAATTATTTTATTGATTTTAGGGTTGAAATATTTTAGGTTGTTTACATCTTGTTGTCGGATTTTAAGTGGTTTATTTTAGTTATTTTTGTTCACTTGTTATTATTTATGTGAAGTTGACGACTTAGAAGCTGGCTTAACCTACAAAGCCATGCTTTAAAGCTTTGTTGTGTTTAGTTTGGTTTAAGTTTAAGTTTCAATATGTTTTATGTAAATTTTACCCATCCCAATGTTTTTTATTTTATTTTTTAATTGATGTTCAAATTGAGGGGTTTAGGTTTAACTTAGGTTCAAGATTACACCTAAAAAAATGTTTCGTATGTTCAACATATGGGTTAGGTTTTGACTTAAGACTTAGGGCATGTTTAGCTTAAGGCTATGCTATGATTCAAATTTGTTTTACCTAAAGATTAGGGTTAGATTAGGATTAACTAACCAAAAATTTATGTTAACTAATCATATTGATTTAAGGTCAACTAACCTAAGGTTTAGGTTAACTAATCCT